GTTACAAAAAGGATTGAGACTACCGGGGGTATAAAGGTAACATTTGCAAAGCAAATGCATAATGTTAACCTTGAAGTTCGCATATGGTCTGCCCTGTTAATTCTTATTATTACACATTCATATATATGGTGACAGGAGTCTAAATCCCTCCTGCTATAAAATTGCAACATGATGTAACCCAACACTAGTTACCATGGTGACAGACGTCTGGTTTAGGTCTTTGACCATTTTTGTTTGGAGAAAAAGCAGAAACAGAGCAAAAATAATATGTTTTCCTTCGGTAAACATAATAATGGTTAGAACACGTAAGTAGTTAATGTTTCATACTGTAGTTATTTTCCTTACCTGATGAGGTTTGACAGACCTCCCGAGCTGAGGTGACAGGAAGATGTCGGACTCTGCTGCCGGATGGTTGACGTTGATCAGGACCCTGCCCAGGGCGTCAGGCTGGTTAGTCGCATCGTCCGTGTGAGACCCACTGTTCCCTGTGTCTTCTTCCTCCTCCTCTTCCTCCTCCTGCTCCTCATCATCTCCACTCACGATCATCACATCATCGTCAGAACTCCCCACCTCTACTACATCTGGTCATAGAAAACACATCATTGTCAGAACTCCCCACTTCTACTACATCTGTGTGTGCACACGAAGAAACAACTCTTTGTAAATAGGTGCATAGAATGGCTAGAAATGGATCTACATTGTATAAAGTAAAAATTAAAAAGAGTGATAGATTAAACTTAAAAGAATTCCTGACCAGTAATGCTACAGGTTTACAAAGTTATATGTGATGTAAGGCATTATTGGTTATGAGAAGGCTATAGTATGCATATGGAGGCTTGTGTATTTGCAGAAAGTATTTCCAAATTGCAGAAAAAATTGACTCTTCTGCAATATTGCAGAGCACTGAAAAAAAGTATTTTCTGTTTAAAAGAAAGAAGTTTATAGCCAGTTGTACAGTTTCTAGAGATTTTAAAATCCATGTACCTTCCCCAGGTAGTTTGGTTGTTTTTGCCGGTTTGCTGTCCTTCTCTGTGCTGTCCTCGTCGCCACTGCTGCTGTCCAAACAGATGACATCATCACTGTCATCCGCCTGCTGAGGCATCATGGGAACCGGAGGCGGCGTGACCTTCGGCGCGGCTACATCTCCTGCCGGTGTTTCCTCTGGCTTGGGCTCCAGTTTGGGTTCTGTGGGTTCGTCTGTAGATGTACATGTTGCAGGTTGTTCTGTTGTGGGTACAGGCACAGGTATGGCTGGCTCTGTGTACATGGAAGGTGCTAGTTCTGCCTCAGCTTCCATTAGATTACCTGGTGAATATATAGCATTGGTAATGCATGAGGTACATTGTACTACATATATCAGCAAGATTCCAAGAGTTAACAGTACACACACCAATTCTTCTGCAATAAGGGTCTGTGGTAGTGCGCGGTAAAAAAAGTGACGAAAGGGTTGCAATGGTTCATGTTTAAGTTTACATTTCTCATAATCTGCTACAACATGGCATTAACTACTAACATGGCTGGAAAGTGTAAGAAGTAGTGTGTTTTGGGTGAAACTTGCAGAATTGAAAATTTACGGTGAGTTCCTTTCTTGTGTTGGAACAAAGCTTGAAATTTACAACTATGGATTCTACCAATGCAGATGATACATTTGAATGGCAGATAATGTTGTGTTCTAGAAAAGCGGCCTCCTTACTGAAGTCCAGCTGCCCTGTGCTGAAGTCCAGATCTGCCAGCTCCATGTCCTCCGCCATGAACCCCGGTGTTGGTGTCGGCAGGTTCTGTGAGCGCTGCAGCTCCAGCCGACGCTTCCTCTCCATCTCCTCCTGCTGGGCAGCCAGGGTCTCTGCCTCCAGCGCATCTTCACCCTTCAGTTTTCTGGTGAAAAGCATTAAATGTTCATATTTTTTCCCTCATCTTTACTTTGGTACATGTGGCACCACTAGCTAGTATACATAAAACTTTTATGTATTACTATTAAAAGCTTACTACCATTTCACAAAGTTAAGGCATTTACGCACTGTGCGCAGGAGGCAGCAAGGCTCAAAATACATTGTTTACAGTGCAATACGCAGTATGTCAATTGTGATTCAAAAGAGTCGGGCCCTGCATTGTCTATGTTTGCTGACTAGCAAAACAAGGCTCCTCAAATTTTAATCCCTGCTACTGTATACGCATGGGCATTTTTTTTATATACCAAATTTCTTACATAAAACTTGAGGAAGTCATTGTATTTACTGTCTCCCACTAAATATTACCTTCAAATACTTTCAAATATCCATACGATGTACAAGTATGATTAATATCAGCCCATTTTCACATTTGAAATATATCAATTGTTCATTTACCTAATGTTTCTCCGAAGATGTCCAGGTTTAGATTTCTTCTTCTTTTTTTCTCCTCCTTCTTTCTTCTTGCGTTTTTTCTTCTCCCCAGGTTGTTGAGGAGTTTTCTTCCTTCTCTTTTTCCCCTTCCCTTCTGCTGTTTGGCTGCCGTCATTCAAGGCCGTAGAGGTGGCTTCATTTTCAGCTGTTAAAACAAAACATTTACAACAAACTGAAATGAGTTTTGTAATAATCTAAAGAGCTGTTCTACTATCAATTTTGGATTAAGTTCCTTGAAATAATAAAAACCGTTCCGTTGTATTCATAATTTTCCAATTAAGATAGGTATTAGGAAAAGATGCTTGGCTTTAATAACTATTATAATAGTGATATACACACAAGATCAAATTGTAACATGAGGAAACTAAAATGTTACCATCATTTAGCTTATTGTCACCAGCTGCTTCTGTCTGCTCCATTTCTGCCTCTGCTACACCCATATCTGAAATATAAAGTAACATGATTACCTACTAGTATATAGTAGTACCTGATAAAACTAAATTATAGTATTCTATATAATATACAGCATCTATATGTCATGTAAGTCTTTTTATATGCAGCATCTATCATGTAAGTGATGCCACAACATCTGTTATAACAATTGGAAAACAAAGTTTATCTACTCTTGCATAATATAAAGCTCATTTGTGCATACAGCCAAATATGTGTAATTTACACTGTAAACACTGATACACTACATAGTGGACGGCAAAAAAGTTAAATAGACAGGATTTATCCACTACATTCATACTAGCTACTTCAAGTACTTGCATTTTTTTAGACAAATTTAGCTTGCATATGAGAAGTCCCTAACTGTAACACAATAGCTTTAGTTTACATAACATTGCAATGTTGTTATACAACAGAGAAATCTGTGTCAAACTAAACAACAGTGAAAATGTTAAAGACTGCTTTTCTTCCTCGTTTACATAATGCATACATTGCAAATACAGGCAAATGCGTAAAAAAATGTATACAGAATTGCCAAAAAACAGTTACTCAAGCAACTGGATATTATGATTTTGGAAAAGTTACATTTGTGATTTTCCAAAATCATAATATCCAGTTGCTTGAGTAACTGCTTTTTAGCGTTTCTTATTACTTAGTTGGATGTCTAACCTTCATCAAGGTGTATACAGTATCATATGTACCTACCTTAGGATTTAAGACAACGGTAGCACGCAGTTTTGCCTCTATCACAACAGTAACTTTTGTAATACTATAAGACACAGCACCTGCACTGCACTGACACTGATTGACATATGAGATGCCCCTTAAGTTTCTATTGGCCAGCATATACGTCACCCTTATGTAACATCTTACACTCAATAGGTGGGCTATACCAACCAGTCATTTTGTATGGGGGGCACACAGCAAACAAATTATACAAGAACCCTTTGATAAGGGGTTCTAATTTTTAAAAACTACAGTCAATTTGCTAATTGTGG